GTGAGATCGAATGTGATATCGGTTGTGATATCGATAGTGAGATCGGTAGTGGGACCGAATGTACGATCGATAATTAGATCCAAAGTGAGTTCGATAGTTAGATCGATAGTCAGATCGAATGTAAGATCGATTGTGAGATCGATTGTGAGATTGATTGTGAGATCAATAGCGAGACCGAATGTGAGATCGATTGTGAGATCGATTGTGAGATCGATAGTCAGATCGATTGTGAGATCGATCGATTGAGATCGATTGTGAGATCGGTAGTGAGTTCGATAGTAAGATCGATCGAGTGCGACGTTGGTCCCTTCCCCCCCCCTCACCTCCTTATCACCCGAAGGGTGGTCGTATAGGTATTTATGTTTTTTTTGCCTTTCTGGGGTATTTTTGGAGTATTTTTAATTTTTCGTCGAAAATCCCCCTGTAGGGGACACGCCCGACATACTCCTCGCCTCCCCCCGCCGCTCGCCGCCGGCAGGCGTGCCCGCACAGCGCGGTGCCTCCGAGGCGGGAGATTCTTGTACACGACCACCGCCCGGAGGATCGCCTTTCGGGGACCCCGGCAGGCGGCGGCCACGGCTACGTCTGGGGCCCCCCCGGGGAGCCAAGCTGTGCCCACAACCACCGCTCGCTGGGGCCCCTGGTAGGGGAGCAAAAAGTGACGTAAACATAAAAACTCGGAGGTCCGCGCGGATTTCTAGTTTTTATGTTTATGTCACTTTTTGTTCCCCCATTCGAGGGGGGCCCCAAACGGTGCGGTTGCCACGCCGTGTGGTGAGTCCGTGGGGATTCTCGGGAGCGAGAGGAGGACGCACACGTACACGGATCCGAACTGGTTTCGAGAGTGCGCACCGCGCGAACGTTCGTATCACGCGGCCGGTCTCGTAGATCGGGGGGCCGTGTTCATGCACACGGTTGGGCGCGTACGTCTTGCGTGGGCTCCCCAGATATCGGGGTCACCGCACGGTTTTGGGACTCGGGTCGCTCTTCGAGGATGTCTCGGGCGATCTGGAGGCCCGAAGCCGTCCTCCCCGGCTGGCGTTTTGGCCACGTTCGTAGGACTGCCAGGCGACGTACATGATCATTGCCAGCACGCTTGGGGAGGCGAGTTGTGTCTATTATCGCTGTCCGCTCCCATCTCCTGCTCCTCCAGAAAAACATGTCTCGGGCGATCTGGGGCCTCCAGGGTTCCAAGGTCGCGCGGTGGCGGACCGTGCGGTGAGGTCTCTCGGGGTTCCCAGGCCACCGCACGGTCTGCCACCGCACGGCTTGGGGGGACCCCCAAGGGCTCGAGGGGGTGTCCAGGGCCGGAGGCGCGATGGCAGCCACGGCGTCGGAGGTCCAGGGGTGCTGCGTGCTTGCTGTGGCCAGGTCCGCGAGGCTCGACTAGACTCGGAGGTGGACAGACCTCCTACCCTGACACGTCGATTTAAGGAATTGGCCGTTTTCGGTTCGCGAGAGGGCGTCGCGGCCGTCATTTTGCGGGTCCAGGTCCGTCGATTTCGGCCCTAGGTCGTTTTCACTAAGGGGAGATTTACTAAAGGGAGGTTTGTCCAGCGCCGATAGACGTAAGAGTGACCTTTGGTGTAGGCAGGCGGGTCCCCAGATGGCTGAAAACGAAGCAGTAGCAGCTGCTTGCGCGCCCAGGTTTGGCCCCCCCGCGGCCCCCAAAAAGTCGCGCACCAAGGGTAACTCTTACCCAGGGTCACTCTTGCATGTAGCCGAGAGGCGAGGTCGCCAAGAGCACGGCTGTGCTTGCTTGGAGGGAGGGAGGGTCGGTGCCGTGATGTCTTTTGTTGTTCGCTGGGCCCACGTGTCGTAGGGGTTAGGTGCAGAGGAGCGGCAGACCTCCTTGCGTCAGACATGTCAGGCTGGTTGTTCTGACTCGGTAAGAGTTTGGATTTGGATTCTGGCGTTACCGAGTTTCCGAAGTTCTGGGCTTGAGCGGTTTCTGGTTTCCGATGTTCAAGTGGCTTACGCAATTCCGCCGACCCCCACAAGGAGTGAGTGTTTGAGACGATCGTGGAAGTTACATTTTGGGTCAGGATACACTTGGATGCATACGGGGGACTCTTGGGACCTCTTGGAGGGCTTTTGGCAGTACCTGGGAGGCTTGTTGGGGCCTCGTGGGGGCCTCTGGGGGTCTTCTTGGGGGCGTCTCGGAGGTCTCTTCGGGCCTCTTGGAGAAGCCTCGGGGGCCTCTGGGGGGCTCGAGGGTCTTGGTGGGAAAGTCTCGGAATGTCAGTTTGTATTCCCCCTCCTGGGCTTTCTTGGAGCCCTCTTGTGGCCCCCCAGGGGCTGTCTTGGGCCGTTTTGAGGGGCCCCTGGATCTGTCTTTGGGTCCTCTTGGGCCGTCTTGGGGCCTTCTTGGAGGCATCATGGGCCGTCTTGGGACGATCTTGGAGGCCACTTGGGCCGTCGTGTTCGCTGTCAAAACGTAAACTGCGAATGTGCTGAAAATGTATGTCTTGTCCGAGGGAATGGGATACTTTCGGCCTCTTTGGGCCCTCTCGGAGATCCTCTGGAGGCGCTTTTGGGCTGTCTTGGGGGCCTCGTGGGCATCTTGAAGCCATCTTGGATCGTCGTGGGGCTACGCTGGGCCGTCGTGGCGCTCTCTTCGACTGTCTTGGCGCTGTGTCTGGGCCCTGTTGGGCTGTCTTGGAGCTTTTTGAGGCCCCGGGAAAGCGTTGACGAGCTCGTGCCGCCCCCCGCCCCGGACCCCTCCCGGCCCCCCCGCTAATGCGATTTTGAGCTCGAGGGGAGGGGGAACAAGGGGGAGGGGAGCAGCCAGTTGGCTCACACGCTTTTTCGCCCCCGTCAAGCGGGGATCGGCGGATTCTCATGTTGCCGGCGCTGGATTCCCGAAGCTCGGAATCTGAGCGGTGTGCGCTCTCCGAAGTGTGGATTTAGGTGGTGTGCGATTTCCTAATCTTGGATTGTCTGAGCCAGCTTCGGATTTGACGAGTGGGTTCGGATTTGCGATCATGTTCAGATTTGGCAGGTTCAGGTTTGAGTCACGGCCCCTGGGCCCCTGGGCACCCAGGTACGTTCCCCAATGCCCCTGCTCGCACTTCGTTGGGGCGCTCGATGACCTCGCACGGCCCCCCCTGAGCAGTCAAGACTCCATGCCGCCCGAATGGGGTCGACGTAGATGGGGTCGTCGGATCACGCCGCATCGCCAACACATCGACCGATGCATCGTCGACCTCTTGGATGCATCGACGATGCATCACCGATGCACCGTTGATGCGTCGGCGATGCGGCTCGACCCACCGACCCCATCTACTTCGACCCCCTTGGGGCGGACTCCAAGGGAGCAGTGGCCAAGGCCGCAACGGACAGCTTCGGGACAGGGGAGCTCGTAGGGCAGCGCTCGACCGTGCAGAAATGTGGCCTGCGGCGGCAGGAGCGCCCCGAGCTGCCCCTGTTCCTGCGCGTGGACAACTTCGTGGAGGACAACGCCGCCGGCGCCGTGTGACGGCGCCGCGGGGCCCCATAGGCTGCCTGGAGCGCTCGCTGAAAGGCCCGCCTGTGGAACGAGAGGCTGCCATCCTAGCAGGCGTCCCAGGGGATCTGTTTACATCGCATGTCCAGGGTGTAGATGGATGTTTCCCAGCTGCCCCTGTGGTGTTAGGTCTCCATTCTCCCAGCCATCCTGCGGCACATCCTGTGGTGTCGGGTCCTCGTGTTTCGAAGGAACAGCGCCCCGCGGCTCCTCTGCTCTCCTCTCCTCCTTCCTTCTCCCTCCTCCCCCCTCCTCCCCCTTCCTCCTCCTATCCGTGCCTCTGCCTTCCGCACCAGTTAACCGTTTCGGCACCTCAATGGCGGTGTTCGCGTGCTTCCCCACTCAGTAACGCGCGTCGTGGGCCCATAGGAGGCTTCACCGAAGGCCCCAGTGGCGATGTCCGAATGCGGTTCCCCCACTCGGAACAACGTTTCGTGGCACCATCGAGAGCTCCACCGAAGGCCCCAGTGGCGGTGTCCGCATGCGGTTCCCCCACCCAGTACAGCGTTTTGTGGCCTCATAGGGAGCTCTTCCGAAGGCCCAATAGCGGTGTCCGCATGCGGTTCACTTACGCACGGTCGCAGGATGCTCGTTCTAAATTACTCGCAAGCCGTGCGCAGTTTTCAGTCCGTGCACGGTCGTTCAGCAGAGACCTTAACAGGGTCTTTGCTATGCCTCTCCCGTTGTTGCTGTTCGCAAGCGCCTCCCTCTTTTTCCCCATATCCTGAGATGGGGTTCTTGTTATTACTTGGACGCCTCCTGCTGCCTCTCCCTCCTCCTCGTTCCTCCTCCCCTCCTGTCGGACTTACTCATACTCAGACTTGCTCATACTCAGACTTACTCATACACAGACTTACTCATACTCAGACTTACTCATACTCAGACCTACTCATACTCAGACTTACTCACACTCAGACATACTCATACACAGACTTACTCATACACAGGCTTACTCACACCCAGACGAACTCATACACAGACTCACTCATACCCAGACTTACTCATACACAGTATTAGTCATACTCAGACTTACTCATACCCAGACGTACATATACACAGACTTTCTCATACACAGACTAATGCATACTTAGGCATACTCATTTTCAGCACCCTTAAGGGGAGCCGCCAGGGGTGGTTGCACGGGCTCGTTCGCGGCCATTTTGTGGGGATGTCTCAGGCGGTTTGCTTGTTTCTGGGCTCAACATCCTTCGCTTGGAGAGCAGATTGTGAGGATGTCTCAGGCGGGGCGCTGGTTTCAGCACCCCTAAGGGGAGCCGCCAGGGGTGGTTGCACGGGCTCGTTCGCGGCCATTTTGTGGGGATGTCTCAGGCGGTTTGCTTGTTTCTGGGCCCAACATCCTTCGCTTGGAGAGCAGATTGTGAGGATGTCTCAGGCGGGGCGCTGGTTTCAGCACCCCTAAGGGGAGCCGCCAGGGGTGGTTGCACGGGCTCGTTCGCGGCCATTTTGTGGGGATGTCTCAGGCGGTTTGCTTGTTTCTGGGCTCAACATCCTTCGCTTGGAGAGCAGATTGTGAGGATGTCTCAGGCGGGGCGCTGGTTTCAGCACCCCTAAGGGGAGCCGCCAGGGGTGGTTGCACGGGCTCGTTCGCGGCCATTTTGTGGGGATGTCTCAGGCGGTTTGCTTGTTTCTGGGCTCAACATCCTTCGCTTGGAGAGCAGATTGTGAGGATGTCTCAGGCGGGGCGCTGGTTTCAGCACCCCTAAGGGGAGCCGCCAGGGGTGGTTGCACGGGCTCGTTCGCGGCCATTTTGTGGGGATGTCTCAGGCGGTTTGCTTGTTTCTGGGCTCAACAACTTTTGCTTGGAGAGCATATTGTGACGATGTCTCAAGCGGGGCGCTGGTTGCAGCACCCCTATAGGGAGCCGCCAGGGGTGGTTGCACGGGCACGTTCGCGGCCATATTGTGGGGATGTCTCAGGCGGTTCGCCTGTTTCTGGGCTCAACAGGGAGGGAAATGACAGGAACGAGGATGAGGAGGAGGAACAGGAGGAGGAGGAGGAGGCGGGGGATCGTGAGGAAGGGCATGGGGGTGCGGAGGGGGAGGGGGAGCAGGAGGATGAGGAGGAGGAGCAGGAGCAGGAGAAGGGAGGGGGCGGAGGAACAGGAGGAGGAGGAGGAGGAGGAGGAGGGCGCTTTGCTCGAAGGTCCTTGACGCGAGCAGAACGTTTGTTCCGAAGTCCAGGACATATATATATATATATATATATATATGTATTCATAGGGGGTGACTGCGAGGGGGGGCGGTGGTTGTGTGCGGGGATCGTTGGAAATGCTCACCGTGGCACTATCCTCCAACATGACATGCACTTATGGCCTTGTGTGGCTAAACGCTCGTCTTACATATCCCACTGCCAACTATCCTACAACATATGCACATGTGGGAAGCTCCAAAGCTACCACGGGCTGAAAAGGGGAAGGCCTGGCAGCTGAGGAGGGGGGATGAAGAGGAAGAGGCTCGCATTCAACCATACTCAAAGCTCACTTTGACTCATACGCAATCACTCGCATTAGGGGCCACTCGTCTTCGTCGGCCCTGTCGCCCACGTGGACGCGCTATTGTAGTCGACCGCTCATGAACAGACGCTCACCACGGCATGACATAAAACATGATATGCACATATGGGGAGCTCCACGCAGTGAGTAATTCTTGTTTCTCTCTCTCATGCTCTTTCTCTAGGTACAGAGCGTCCTCGACCCAGCGAGTGATCCCACAGGGGGGTCGAGATACGCAGGGCCAGACCGTGTGCTTTGGAGGCTCAGCGTCTTCGCCGAGAGGTTGGCCAGCGATGGCCATGACCAAGCACCGTGCGCAGGGCCGTCGAGAGCGTCCGGGACTTTGTGCTCTGCGACGGTTTTTTTGGCGCCGGGTCGCCGCTCAGCCAGTACTTGAAGCTCCTTGGCTGGATCGTCATCTCCAGTGATACAGTCAACGCGCCTAGTAAGGACGCGCGCGTTCATCTAGGGTGCCTTTGTGTCCTTGCCTCTGAGGCTCGTCCTTGCCATTATCACTGGTCGCCCACCGCCCTAAAAAACCCAACTTCGGCCTCCAAGGGTCTTGCGTCCTTATCACCCGTCCTTAATATACGTTTTGACTGTATCGCTTCCGGCGCTGACCGCCACCTTCGCGGCGCCCTTCTCCTTCAGCGCGACCTCGGTCTCCTCGGGCGTGTGCGGCCACGCGCAAAACCACTTTGGGGCGCCGCCCTGCGGCGCGAGCTCTGGGCTCGTGGAGTCCTGCTCCTGGCCGACGCATGTGGCCGCTCGCCGTCCGTTCGGCGTCGCCCCAACATACTTAATACTATATGTGCGTCGCCCCCCCCGGCGGCGACGCGCGCACCGAGAACTCTTCTAGCATGTGCGGCTCGTGGCGGGCGCTTGCTGGCCACGCCGCTCGGGAAGCGATAACTACTACGGCGGGCGCAAAATGGGTATGCTATATGTTCGGGTCGGACGCGCGCTTCCCGTGAGGGCATATAGTATCAGCATTAGGTCGGGCCTGTCCCCCTACAGGGGGATTTTCGACGTGAAATAACAAATACCCCCAAAATACCCCCCAAAGGTAAAAACATACTCAAATTATCGTCCCCAGACTATTTTTGGACTATCTTTTGATTATTCTTGGGGTATTTCTTTTTATTTTTCGTCGAAACTCCCCCTCCAGGGGGACACGCCCGACTTAATCTTAGCATGCCTCCGTGCTTCCCATCCGTTGGCCTTCTGGCTCCGGCCGCTCGGGAAGCGATACGTACTACGGCGGGCACACGATGGGTATGTATGCTATATATATGTTCGGGTTTGACGCGCGCCTCCCGGGAGGGCATAGAGTATCAGCACTCCGCTATGCTTCCCAGCCGCTGGCCTTCTGGCTCCGGCCGCCCTCTCCGCAGCTCCCCGCGCGGCCGCCGAGGCTTCGCCGCGGCCTCCGACCGCAGCCGCCCGCTATGGCGCGCTCGCGCCGCCCGCGGGCCGCGGCGCCCGCCCTGGCCGCCGCAGTCTGCGCCGGCCTGGCCTGGGCGGGCGGCGCGGCGCCGCGCTCCTTCGTGGCGGTGCACCGTGCGCAGCGCCGTGCCGAGAGGGTGGCCAGGCTCAGCCACGCTCGGGCTGGACGAAAGGGGGGGATTGGGAAAGGGGGGGTTACGAAATTTGCTGCATGCAGCTGGTTTCGGCCTCACTGAAGGGCCCATTCCTCGATACATGGGCGCCTCCCGGCGCCGGGAGGCGCCGGGAGAATCAGCTACGTGAGCTGATTCTCACCCCCCCCCTTTGCTATCCCCCCTTTCGCCCGACCCGACACGCGCAGAGGGGGGTGGGGGGAGGGGGGAGGGAATTTTAGAAGCACCCCTGCTTCCTAGAAGGCGCCCTCGAAGAGGCCTTCTAAGGAGCAGCCTCCTTCTGAGAAGCAGCCTCCTTCTCAGAAGCCCTCCCCCCTCCCTCCACCCCCCCTGTGCGCGCCGCCAACAGGCTGGGCGGGAGCCCTTTCGGCGCCTTCGACACGAAGGCCCTCGAGGAGGTCATGAAGGATCCCGAGAAGCTGAAGCAGCTGCAGGCCGAGGCCGCCAAGATCATGGAGGACCCCGAGAAGAAGAAGCAGATCGAAGCCTGGCAGAACAACATGCAGAGCGCCGTGGACAAGTTGAAGAACGACCCAGAGATGAAGGACTTCTTCGACGACATCGCCAAGAATGGCATGGAGGCCATGAAGAAGTACGAGAAAGACGAGAGGATCTTGGCGAAGTTCTCCCAGGCGACTGGTGGCCCGGAGAGCATCCCCGGCATGATGGGCGGCATGGGCGGCATGGGCGGCATGGGCGGCATGCCTGGCATGGGCGGCATGGGCGGTGCGCCTCCAGCCCCGCAGGGCTTCAAGCCGGGGGACGAGGTCATCATCAAAGGCCTGCAGAAGGCCCCAGAACTGAACGACAAGAAGGCCATGGTGGTGCCTCCCACGACGGAGGAGCGCAAGACGCTCGAGGGCACCGACAGGGTCATCGTGCGCCTTCTCGACTCCGGCGACCAGTTCGCCGTGAGACCAGCCAACCTCAGGACTACGGCGCAGGCCGCCGACGAGCTGATGGGCTCGAACCTGGAGGACGTCTCGCTGTACAACCCCGCCCTGCAGTCCGAGGCCGCAAAGTTGCGGGAGTCCGGCAAGCTGAACGACCTGCAGAACGATCCCGAGTTGAAGCCCATTTTCGAGGATATCAAGAAAAACGGGATGGGGGCCTTGGAGAAGTATTGGAACGACGATAAGCTGATGGCGAAGATCTCCAAGGCGATGGGCACCGGCTGAGGGCCCCCCGTTCCAGCCCTTCGTGGGCGAGCGCACAGTCGCGCGGGCGGCGTCTCGTCCCCGCCCGCGGCGTGCGCGAATGCCTCCACAGGCCCGGGGCTGTTTCCGCGCCCCTCGCCTGGCCTCCCTCCTTCACTCCTCTCTCCTTCGTGCCGTCCTTCTTCTCTTCTGACCTCCCTTTGTTCCAGTCTGCTGCCTCGTGGCGGCTACAGGTTTTGTAGGGTTTCTAAAACAGCCTGGAGGCTCCCAATGCGCCCAGGTCTCTGTTGCAGTTCTGTTGTGCGGCGTCCGTCTAGGAGCGGGGGTTTCGCGGCGGTGGAGGGGAGCTTGAAGTCCTGGGAACAGCTTTTCTCTGGTTGAGAGCTCTCCCTTTCATTTTCTCAGCTGCTTCGTGGCACCCTGCTTTAGCGCTCAGTCTCCTGCCTGGTGGCCAGCACCCTCTGGCAAAATCTCACACATGGATCAGGCTTCAAACGAATGTCGTGCATCATTACGATGACGATGATGCTGATGATGATGATGATGATGATGATGGTAATGCTGATAATGATGATCATACAAATTATGCTGGCGACGACGACGCCGCCGACGATGACGGCGACGACGATGATGATGATGCAGCTGCTGCTGTTGATGATGATAATTATGGTGGTGATGATGAGGATGGGGTGGTGATTGGTGATGGCGATGATGATGCTGATGCTGATGATGATGCTACTGATGATGATGATGCTGATGATGATGATGATGATGGTGGTGCTGATGATGATAATGATGCTTACGACGATGGTAATGATGCTGATTCTGATTGTCATCATGATTCTGATGATGGTGGTGATGCTGATGCTTAAAACTTGTGGTGATGACGGTGATGCTGCTGCTGATGATGCTGCCGCTGCGGAAGGTGAGGTTGATGATGCTGATGGCACTGCGGATGATGATTATGATGATGATGCTTAAACTTATTGTGATGATGATGACGATGCCGATGGCGATTCCGATGATTATGATGATGATGATGATGTTGCTGATGATACTGGTCATGATGATGATGATGCTGGTGGTGATGCTAATGATGATGACGATGATGATACTGTTGCTGCTGCTGCTGCTGATGATGATGATGATGATGATGGCGATGGCGATGATGGTAATGATGCTGATTATGATTGCGATCCTGATTACGATGATGGTGGTGATGCTGATGCTTAAACTTGTGGTGATGATCTAGATGCTGCTGCTGCTGATGATGATGATGATGCTGCCGCTGCGGACAGTAAGGCTGATGATGCTGATGGCAATGCGGATGATGATGATGATGCTGATGACGATGCTGATGATGCTTATGACGTTGGGGATGATGGTGATGATGAGGATGCTGATGATGATGATGCCGATGGCGATTATGAGGATGATGCTGAGGATGCTGATCATGCTGCTGCTGCTGATGATGATGCTGATGATGATGCTGATGATGATGAGGATGCTGACGATGATGATGATGATGATGACGACGATGATGATGATGATGATGATGATGCTGATGATGATGATGATGAGGTTGACGATGATGATGATGATGATTATTATTATTATGATGATGACGATGATGATGATGAGGAGGAGGAGGAGGATTATGATGATGATGATGATGATGCTGATACTGCTGATGCCGATGATAATGTTGATGATGAGGATGATGATGATGATGATGATGATGATTATTCCGATGATGATGATGATGATGATGATGATGATGATGCTGATGATGCTGATGATGATGATGATGATGATAATGATGATGATGATGATGATGATGATGATGATGATGATGATGATGAGGCTGAAGATGATGGTATTGATGATCACAGTCGTACTCATGGTGATGACGATGCTTACTCTGATCATGACGGTGTTGCTTGCGGTGTTGAGCATGTTGATATATATGTTTCGGCAGTGACAGGCTGGCGGGTGGCACGGTCATGGTGCGCCCTCCCGCACGTGAAGGGAGTGCCTGTGATCCACGGAGTCGGCTCGTGCTTCATAGGCCCATCGTCGGCCCCCCCCCGAGCCCCCCGTCCCTCCTTGCCTGAGACCTCTCCAGGGTTACTCCAGATTTCGTAATAAAGGGAGGGGGGTCTCATTTCGGGGGGGGTCTCTTCCAGGCTATCTTGGAGGGCCTGGGGGGTCTGGGGACGATGTTTTGGAGGGTTCTCCGGGGAGGTCTGAAATTGCTTTTCTTGGAGGGTCCAGACCCCCTCCCTTTTATTACGAAATCTGGAGTAGGCTGGTTTGGGGTGGGGAACTCCAGACCTCACACCTGCCCCCTCGCTACAGCCTCGCAGCTGCTGCCCCGCACGCGAGAGGATGTCGTCGTCATTGCCTTACTCTGTCCAGGTGGGTGACTCAGATTGTCCTTCCAGGGGCCGATGCAAGGCGCTTGACTGTCATTGGGCACTTGGTGCCTCCAGGGCTGCCCTCTCCGCACCCTGCGCCCGCTGCCTGCGCCATCTCCCCTGCCCCGCCGCTCGGCGTGCGCTTCTAGCCCCCTGCCTCCCCCCCCCGCTCCCGCGGCGGGCTCGTCTTCCGCCTCGTCGTGCCCGCCTCTCCTGCTCGGGCGCTCCTCGCCCACGGCTGCCCGCGCCTCCGTCCCTCCGCCTCTTGACGAACCAACAACACACACCCATACCCCTAGGGGGGATCGGAGAGGGCTATGGGTGCGTGTTGTCGGAGGGGGGTCCCCGCTCGAACGGGAGCGCTCCCCAGGGTCCGACAACCCGCACCCATACCCATGGCCAGTCCTCCTCCCAACGACCTCCCTATGGGTATGGGTGTGTGTTGTTCGTTCGTCGTCCCTCGCCGCCCTCGCCCCCGGCAGCCAGACCTGCGCGTCGCACCCGCGGCGCACCCCGGAGGGAGCATGGCTCGAGCGGTGGTCCGCCGCTGCGGGCCAGGCTAGGTCCCACTTTTGGGTCGCGAGCTCATGCGATGGCCGAAGAGGAGTACTTTGGCAGGGGAACAAAAAGTGACATAATCATAAAAACTCGGAGGTCCGCGCGGATTTCTCGGATCGGCGCTGCGGCCCCTCGGCGGCGCCTCCGGCGCCGCCCCTGGCGCGTTCCGCGCGCTTCGCTCCCCTGGCGCGCTCCGCGCGCCAGGGACATACGTACGCACATGCAAAGCTGACGTTTCCCAGACGTTCGGGGGTCGCGGCAGTGGCGGCCTCGCTTGCAAGAATGTCACCCGAAGGACCAGCTGATTTTGGAGGTTGACCCTCGTGAGATCAAGTACTTGAGCGTCATCGGCGAGGGGACAACAGCAGTAGTCCATTTGGCAAGGTTCAACGGCGCTGAAGTGGCGGTAAAGGAGATCCGCGCGTCCGCCGAGTGCGCCGGCTGTGACGAGGGTACACTCCAGGACTCGGCTTTTGCGATTGCGGCTGCTTCCTGTTTCGTGCAGCGTTCGTCGGCTGTGCTCCTTTAGACGATCCAGTGAGCTTTCCTCGCTTGTGCACGTGAAGGCAGGCAGCCAGACAGGCCGACAATGTGGTGGATGTGCGGGTGGTGTTCTGTCCTGCGTGTGCTGGTGTGGGCCTGTGGGCTTTTCACAGCTGGGCGCTCGTCCCTCTCCAGCTTTGTCCCAGGTTCGGTGGGCTGGTGATTTACAGTGGTGCAGGTTCACGCCCC